AGGAGCTCACCATGATATGGGGTGAGGAGGGCGAGAAACTGGGTTTCGATGACTTCGCGGACTGGTACTGCGAGGCGCGGCTCGGGACACGCCGCGGCCGGCAGCGTGCACGTCACCGAAGTGCACAGGGGCGCGTTGAGTTGCTGCGGTGGGGCCATGACCTGCAGGGTGTCCGCACCGAAGCTGCCCTGGCATACCCGTGTGAAAACTCAGCAATGTATAGTGTGCAGAACGTCAGTCTTAACACGTTGCGTGCTGGCTCAGCGTGTGGGTCCACGTTTTGGCGAACGTATCGTGCCAGACCTGAGTGTTCAGTCTACGTGGCGAGCTCCGTGGCAACATGCCACTGGATGCGTGTTGCGTATCGGGGTAGCTAAGGTCTGCACTTTGCCGCCTGCAGTCTGTACGGCCTTGGATGGCTTCACACGGCGATGCTGATTTGTCCCAGCCTTTCTTTGGTTGGGTTCTCTTTCTGAAATAGAGCAGTGTGTCGGGGGTGGACAGAATCCCCACCCTGACACGTCGATTAGTGAATTGCCCTCTTTCGGTTCTCAAATGGGCGCCGCGGCCGTCGTTTTCCAGGTTTGCGCCCGCCAGGTTTGGGCCTGAGGTCGTCTTCACTAAATCACGTGTTGCTAAAAGGGTTCTGTCCATCCCTGAGTTGGGTCCATTCCTGAGTTGTGCCTCCACCTCCGCCCGTTTCTCGCCCACCCCCGCTCTCCTCTCGGCTCTCTCCTCCCGCATCCCTTCTGGGGGCCGCGAAGGGTGAAACTCTCGCCACTTTCGAGGGGTGTTGGGGGAGCCCGCACAGTGGTGCCACATGCAGGCCCAAACGGGACCTCGCCATCCCTGGGGGGCTGCGAAGCGTGAGACGCTCCTCAGTTTCGAAAGTTGTTTGGGTAGCCAGCACAGTGGGGCCACACGCAGATCAAAACAGGACCTCGCCAACCCTGGGGGGCTGCGAAGTGTGAGATTGACACCATTTGCGAGGGCTGCTGGGGGAGCCCGCATGGTGGAGCCACAGGCAGGTCAAACCAGGACCTCGCCATCCCTGTTGGGCTGTGAAGTGTAAAAAACTGTCGCCACGTTTTGAGGGCTGCTGGGGGGGGGCAGCACAGTGGCGTGCCACGCAGATCCAAACGGGACCTCGCCATCCTGGGGGGGGGGGCTGCGCAGAGTGAAGGTTGTCTTCACTGTTGAAGGCTGCTGGGGGGGTGGGGGGGGGCAACACTGGGGTGCCACGCAGATCCAAACGGCACCTCGCCATCCCTTGTGGGGTTGCGAGCTTTAAAATGTTCGCCACGTTTGTGGGCTGCTGGGCGGGTCAGCACATTGGGGCCCCACGCAGGTCCAAACGAGACCTCGCCATCCTTGAGGGGCTGCGAATTGTGAGACTGTGGCCACTTTCGGAGGCTGCTGGGGGAGCCCGCACAGTGGGGTCCCGCAGTGGGTGTCCACCCCGATGTCTTCCTTGTGCTTCTCCTTCAAAGTCCACTGCCTCCTGGCCTCTTGCGAGTCGGTCACGCATACTTCGCAAGATACAGCTACCCGCCGTGCACCGTATCTTGCAGAGGTGCTGTCGCACTGATGCCCGCACGCCTTATATCATCCTTTGGTGCCGATGGAGTACGTACGTCGCAAGGGAATGTCATATTATATTATGTGTCAGCCTCAGTTGTCTATCTGGACTCCTGCTCCAGGTCGTGCTTATAGTGGTTGTCATCGCGGGCAGTCGTTGACTTTCATGCGGATGTCCTGTCCTGTCCTGCCCTGTCCTCCCCTTCCTCCCTCCTTCCCTCCCTCCCTCCCTACTCATTATTCCTCCTTGCGCTGCGGCGTTACTTTTCGTACTGCACCGCCCCAGCTGCCGAGGTCGTGCGCCTTGATTTGCGGATGGCCGATCCGTCCTACCTCGGCCCCCTTCCCCATCCTGTTTGGGGGGCGTGGGCGGATAAAGGGAAGAGGGGGGAGGGGCTGGGATCCCGCCTCATCCCGTCCTGGAAGGCGTTGGACATGTACGAGAATTCCATATCGGAGCAGGCGGCCGGGCACGAACAGATGTCCACTTTCGCGCCAGCCGTCGGCGCCCACGATGCCCCGAGTTCGAACGATAATGAAGAGAAGAGGCGCGACAGCAGCGAAAACGGCAGCAGCAGCCGCAAGCAGTTTGAACACGGATGGAGGCGAGGGCGAGTAAATACAGTAAGAGGGTCGGAGAAGGAGGACGAGGAGGGAACAATAGGACCAGGAAGATGCATCGGAGCAGGAGGGGGAGAAAACATGTGATAAGGAGGCGTCTCAGTTTCAGGCTTCGCGGGCGAACGATCCCTCTCCACTCGCAGTTCGAAGGCCGTTTTTTGTTACGGGGAGACCTGCAGCTGCTTGAGGTCACGTGCTTGCTGTTGGAACGTTAGGGAGTCGCCCAACTCTTGTACACGCTTCTTCGGCCACGGGTCAGCTTCATTGCCTGAACAAAAATGTCTTTACGGAGAAGTGCCTTGGTTTCGTGTCTTCTTTCGGACACCGTGCACTGGAAGTACCAATGAACTATGATGCGAAAGTCCCCCAGTCGCTTCCTGAACGCGACGTCCCTGTCGCCCCTTCACTGTTATTCGCAACCGCGGGGTTGCATCGGTGCAAAATGGGCGATCTCTAGCCACACACACATACGTGTACACGTGTGTTTGCATTTTTATCTGCGGCTCTCGCGAGACAGCTGCGAGACAGCTCGCGAGACAATGACGAGACAAACACGGAAGACCACATGACAACCTCTAGACATCCACATGGCAACCACAGGACAACGCATGCGGGACAACCACGGGACAGTCACCCGACAACCCACAGAACAACCCACGAAGCAACACAGTAACGACAACGTGGCACCCCACGAAGCAACTTGCGGGACAACCGCGGGATTACCTCACGCGGCACCGCGAGACGACGGGCGGACAGAGTTATGTTGTCCGGCTTGGCCCCAGCCACGGCCGACACATCATCGCCCTCTCACAATTCCGTGCCGCAGGCGCGACACGAACCGAAACCGACCTCCTGTTCCTTGGCATCGCTCGGACGTGTACATTTTTCCTTCGGCGAGGTTCATCGAGGAGCATCCTTGATCATTGGGCGAGAAATGCCACGCACGAAACCGGAAAAACAAGCACAGGGAATGGAGGCCGAGCGATGGCCAGGTTCAGGGACGTTGCGCTCCCACTCCCCGTGCCCCAGTACTGTTTACTCCCACTCGTTGCCCGAGCTGCGTGTGGCGGGCCGCGGGCTGCTTCTCGCCTCGGTTCCTCTCTTACGTTTTACCTCTTCCTCATCGCTCCCCGTGCCTGGCGTCTGCGCTTCATGTTCCCGATGAGAGCCGACCGATTCTCTGCCCACCCTGCGTGACTCGGCTGTCCGCTTTGGTGACCAGGATCAAGGCCAAGGATGCAGGAGTATTCGAATTTTGCGGCGGTGGTGTCGCAACTTTTCCCTCCTATCCTGGTGGGGTCAGGGCTCGCGGCCATGACTCCCGATGGTTGTGCTTTGTAATGGATCGCACAGGGCAGTGAGAGAGAGAGAGGGACAACAGAAAAACAGAGAAGGATCTATATATATATAGAGAGAGAGGGAGATAGAGAGAGAGAAGAAAGAAAGAGAGAGAGAGAGAGAGAGAGAGATAGAGAGAGAGAGAGAGAGAGATAACAACAAATATAGCAAAAGAGAGAGAGAGAGAGAGAGAGATACAGAGAGACCGAGGGAGGGAGAGAGAGAGAGAGAGAGAGAGAAAGAGCGAGAGAGAGAGAGAGAGAGACAGAGAGAGAGATAGCAAACAAAAACATGAGCATCGAGAGACGTGAGAACAAACAACAAACACATCAGGGGCAACGGTAGGGCGGGGCGCATCGACCCCTGAACGCCCATCCAGCGCCGTTGGAGGCGAATAGCCCACCTCGCCCTGGAACGTGCGGATTCGCTGCCGTTCTAAAACGATATATCGCCGATTCCAGGTCGACGTTGCCCCGCCCGCTGGGGACGATCCAGGTGCCCCCAGAACGCTCTCGGCGAGGCCCAGCCTGCTGGAGAGCACCCCGAGGCGGGAAATCGCCGCGGACCGATACAAACTTAGAACCTCCGAGACCTCAACCTCGAAGCCGACGAAACGGGCCGATTCCAACTCGACAGTCCCTCAGAGTCGCAGGGCTGGACCTAAACGGTGTTTTTGGTGATTTCGTCGGCCGTTTTCGTTTCGACTTCGTTTTGCGGTACAGGCGGATTCGAGATAAAAGCGAGGGGAAACGAAAACAAAACGAGAACGAACAACACCGTTTAGGTTCAGCCCTGCAGAGTCGGCCTTTCCTGTTGTTACTTTTTCAAAGGAGGAGCAGAGTGCACACCTCCATTCAGGCGGTGCTGCCGCCAGAGGCGCTGCTGGAAGAGGAGCTCGACGCCCAGTCCGAGGCCGAGGCGCTCCGCTGCCCCGCGTCGGCCACAGTTGGCCCGCTCCGCACATAGTATCTCTCGTTCTCGCCGCTACCCCACCCCAACCCATGTCGCGTCGCGAGAAATCACAATGGGATGTGTCTGTCGGTTGTTGTTCCAGCTGCGACAATTACGGCTCCCGCCCGATACTTCCATACAAGTTACCCCGAGACACTTTGGCCAGAGAGGCCCCCGAACTCAGGAACGGCGCTCTCGATCGAGATTTCCCCGCAATTCGATTAAGTTGGCGGAGGCCCAGCCACGACGACAAGGGCTCCTGCTCGATACTTCCTCACGATTTACTCCGAAAGCCCCTGGCCAAGAAGGCCCCCGAACTCAGGAACGGCGCTCTCGCTCGAGACGTCCCCGTAATTCAGGCAAGTTGGTGGAGGCCCGGACACGGCGACAAGGACCCCCGTTCGATATTTCTCCATAGGTCTTCCGAGAACCCCTGGCCAGAGAGGCCCCCGAGTTCAGGAACGGCGTTCTCGCTCGAGACTTCTTCGCACTTCAGTCAGTGGCCGACGAAGGAGAGATTCCCCCCAAAAGGGGGTCAATCGAAGACGAAGTGGGCGGGTATCGAGGGTTGGGGTATACGGAATGCAAGACACGCGTGCCAGTAAGAACGAACAGTCTTAAGATGTTTGTGGTTGTTGTTGTTGCTGTTGTTGTTGTTGTTGTTGTTGTTGTTGTTGTTGTTGTGGAATGGGTGTTGGTGTTGCTGTCGTTGTCGTTGTTGTTGCTGTTGCTGTTGCTGCTGCTGCTGATGATAATTACTGTTTGCCTCTATGGGGCCCTCGCTGGGTCCTGGAGCCTTCAAAAACGACTCAGGATGAAGAAGAAGTCCCGAGAAACGGGTCGAGGCCTCTGAGGGTCGACTTTGTGAAACATTATGAAGTCGGGTTTCTGGGTCCCTTTCCCTGAGGCCCCCTCTGCTTTCCCTTTGGGGGTCGCCAAGTCTGGTAGCGTGTGTTCACCCTTTTGGCCATAACACGCGTTATGCCCCGCCTCCCCCCTTCCTCCCCCCATAACGTAAGACCCCCCCCCAAGTGTGTCCCCAGCAGTGCTGCCGTGCGTCTGTCACCACAGCCTGTGGTGCCAGGCGCACACGGCGGGGAGGGACGCCATGTTATCCCCCACCGGAGGGGGAGGAGGAGGATGGGGGAGGAGGAAGAGGAGGAGGAGGAGGAGGAGGAGGAGGAGGAGGGCCCCCACAGCCCCAGAAAGCTCTCTCTCTCGACGTCAACCCCTGTGCCAGCCCAGGCCTGGGATCTGGTGCGCAGGCCTTGCTGGCCGAGCCGGGAGGGCGCACACACTCACACCGATCGCCACGGCCCTCCTCGTGCTGTCTGCCACTTATTACGCTTGACGCGGTCGTTTCGGCGATCGACGTTCGAGCAATACCCTTTCTGCTGCCCCCCGCATCATTGGCGCCAGGTGCAGCAGGGCAACTATGGATAAAAGTAAGTGGCCTCGGAGGCCATAATCTTGTCCATATCCTCGCCCTGCCCCCCCCGTGGGGTCGGGGCGCGAACAGGGATATGGATAGACTGTTGATGGCCTATCGTTGCAAGGAGGGGCCCCAACCGAGCGTCCAGTTTCTCTGGACGCGCCACTCAACTCTATAGAGGCAGAGCCGCCGCTCCTCTGCGCTGCGTGCCAGCGGGAACCGTATGGCAAAGCTACCAGCTCGTCACGAAAAGATACCAGGAGGGCGGATCCCGGCAAACGCGTTGTTTATATTGTTTTTTGATAACGAACTCAAAATGGACTGAACGGCTAATTCAGATCGGCAGTTGCGCTCATTGCGCAGATGAGCGCCGACGTAATCGAGAAGGCTGTGGGCGCTCAAGTAGTATTGGCCGTCTGGGATTTTTCGAGGTGGACCTATATACATAGTTCCGGAAATTTGGCAGTTCACTGATCTTGGTGCGTTCTGGCATGCTGGACCTTGGTGGGAGACCTTGTCTCCGAGGGTCTGAGGGCAGTCTTATACGGCTCCGGACAAGTTGGATTATTATTCGTTACTTTTTGTTATCTGATGGGTTGCGCCGCTTGCGTCGAGGCTCTTCTCTGGCTTAGCGGACATGGTTTGGGACTTCTTGGGGGCCGTGTCGGGCCATATTACGGTGCTTTCAGGCCACTGGCGTTTTCGGACTTTCCTGGAGGCACGTGTTCGGGGCCTCTTGAGCTGTTTGCGTCACGCTCGCACACTGCAGTGGTACTCACTGGGTATTGTTCGTTTCGTTGTATGTGGGGGTTACCATCGGTTGTTGTTTCTGCCTCTTCGGACATCTCGTGGCCTCTTTGGGTCATTGGCGGATTTCGGCCCTTACGAGCCTCTGGGGGTCCATGGTCGATAACATTGTATCCTCATGACTATCGCAATAATTCTTGGGAGTGCGCAATATTTGGTGAGACAGGGGTATGTGATACGAGTCGCCCACGCACCAGGCCATGTTCCCATCCACGCGTTAGACTGCACGTTTCTGTGCACAGTCTTATGTTAAAAGATGTGAAGTGTCGTTCATTACGCCCCCCCTTTTGCCATGTGTCCACAGCACAGGTCACCTGCGAGAATCGCCCCTGAGTTGTTGTTCGCAGCGCGGGGGAGCCAACGCTGAAGATCTCCCCCAAACAGTCCAGCACGATTCTTCTTCGGGCACTCCTCGTTCATGCCACGCTACTACTGCTGCTACCGCTATCGGCAGCGCCCGCGTCCGCGCCGACGCCATGCAGCTGTCGTCCGCTCTCCCTCCCGGCGCCACAGGTCGAGTACAGCGATGAGGACGGCGGCTTGCTGGCACACTTGCCAGAGTCATTGTTGGACAAGGTTCAGAAATGTCCCTGGGCGCACGTTATGATGAGCGCGAGGGTGAGGAGTAGGAGGTGGAGGAGGAGGAAGAGGAGGAGAAGGAGGAGGACGACGAGATCGACGACGAGGGGGACGATGAGGACGAGGAGAGGGAGGAAGGGTGACGACACAACGACGAATGACGTGGAAATGGAAGACTGCGGGTCGGGCGAGAAGACGGCAGCAGGCGCCAGCAAAGACGGCCTCGGGACGGCAGGGAGAGGTTTTGGAGCGCAGAGTGCCAGCTCAGCCACCCATGGCGGCCGAAGTTGCCCCTCTCCCCACAGGAGAAAGATCTCCGATGCCCCCCACCGTCGGGATCCCGAAACACGCTTACGTATGGTGATCATATGTTGGTTCAAGGTTTTGGCATACAGCTGGCACGAGCGCCAAGAACATCTTAGCTTTGGAGGGACACCCTCACGTTCTTCGTGCTTGGACTCTCCTTCTCGGAATTTTCTTCGTTTGGCGTTTGGGGTCGTGCCTCTGTCCCTTGGAGAAGGGGCCCGTGTTCTTGATGTACGTTAGTGTGGCCATGCTTCGACTGCAGCGCGCTACAGTCCTGGCGCGTGCCAAGACAGAGGGCAGCAGAAAGCAGCGGCAGAGGCGGTGGGGCTGCGCATACGACAGCGAGGGACCGAAAGGGACCACGGGCCGACTCAGACGGGCCCGAGGGGACCAAGTGCAGCAACGGGGCCGACTGTGACCCGAAGACAGAGCGACAGAAGTCCAGGCGACGCGCGAGCGCCGCCCGACCGCAGCGTCACACGGAGCGTCGGCGCCAACAGGATCCACGAGGAACACCAGGAGGATGTCCTGGAGGCTTTTGACTATCTACGGAGACTTCCTGCAGCAGCAGCACCAGGAGGATTCGGGAATTGGCGGTGCAGCGCACGCTTGCCGTCGCCACGCCCTGATCGCCGAGCACGCCCGCGTTGCCTGCATGGCACGCCCGCCACAAAGCACCGGCAACCCAGCGGTCGACGCTGGCCGCCCACGAGTCGGGGCGACGAGGGGACGGCCGCCCGCCAGCAGTCGGGCGCTGGGCAGCGCCAGCACACGTCTCCTCGCGCTCGAGGCGGCGTGTGCCCGTCTCTGCCTCTCGCCTGTCGCCGCTGGTGCCCCGTGCTGCGGCGAGGTCCTTGTCCACGAGGTGTCCTCGCGCTGGCCCGTTCCGACAGCAGGGCCACGAAGAGGACCCCCGAACATGCGCGACGACCAGTAACAGGACATTGGAAAGCATTCTGGAGCTGGAGGCCCACCCTTCTATTGTACCCCTTCCTCTGTTCTCGCCAGCCTGAGGATGAAGAGTACCAGGAACCGCCCAGACAGAGCCCGGAACCCCTAATCCTCCTGCTCCTTCCCCCCAGTCGGGCAAGTTCGGGGGCCGCCTCTGCAGGAAACAGCCTCCTCGTGGGCCACCCAGAAGGCTATAGTCATTGTCTTGATGATGTCAAAGGCTGCGCTCGTCCGCTTGCCACTTCGGAACACTTACTGCCGACCGTTTGCGGGAATGCTTCTTAGCATGCGTAAGACTCTGTTCACCGAAGCAGGGCTGGACATAAACTGTTTTTGTTGGTGAGTTCGTGAGCCGTTTTCGTTTCGACTTCGTTTTATAGCAGAGGTGGATTGGAGACAAAAGCGAGGGAAAATGAAAACAAAACGAAAACGAACATAAACGTTTAGGTTCAGCCATGCATCGAAGTATTCGAACTAAGGGCACGCCAGGCGGAGAGTGAGGATAGACTTACTGTCGCGCGTTTCTGCAAGGCACGCAGCGATGCTGCAGATGCGGTGGCTAAACATGGAGCGGCCGCCCATCCTCGGAGTTCAGAGCACGAAAACCAGCGTGTTGCCAGTCGCGCTCGCATTGCTAAGTTTGTCTGCCAGCTCGCCCACAGACGAATGACCCTTTGGCCGCGGCTCTGCTGAACTGGCGTTGGTCGCGATCCGCCCGCTTCCTCGACCCCTAAAAACCGAACCCGTGTCGCCCCTTTCCTTTGTGCGGCCTGGCTATTTTAGGAGGTACCAGCGCGACCTCCGATGTAAGAGACATGCGATCATCATGTACGCCCCCGGGTGTTCTGGCGCGCTCACGTTCCAGAACCGTGGGCACATAATGGTGGCTCTCTCATGCCCCACCTCTACGACGCCCTGGCGTCGCGTGCACCCCAAAACTCCATGGAGTGTTTTGCGAGTTTTCAGGTATCGGAGAGGCTGAATCGTAGGCCAGTCTCCAGCATGCTGCCGCCTCCCTGAGGCTCGAAGCCCGTAACGTTTCGGACGGCGGCGATGCCGATCTGGAGTCAGTATCCGACTCGCTTCCTCTAACATTCTTCCTGTGGTCACCGCTTGCACCTGGTCTAGTTAAAAACAACAATGCTTCTCTTCTCCCTCAAGGAACTCTCTCATCCTTACCCACCGGTCGTTGAAAGTAGGTATTTTTGGATTCCCAGAGTCCAATTTACTTTCAGCGCCTTCCTACTTCAAGAGTCGAGTGGTTTTCCCTCTTCCTTCCTCTTCAGGAGGCGGGCGGAAACCCAATCTATTTCCAACGCCTTCCTACTTTATGTTTCTACCTACTTCTTCCGACCGATGGGTACCCCTCCTCCCCCCCCAGACCCCGACGTCGCGGTCATGGTCGCAACATAGAGCCCCAGAGGTCTCGACCCCCTCCCAGGGCCTGCCTTTTACGCGTCCATGGCCCGAGAGCCCGGCCGGGCCCCCCACGAGGCCGACGATGCCCAGAGGCGCTCTTGCGCGCGACGTCTCCGCGGCACGATGGGGGCCTGGGCTCCCCGCCCCCTCCCACAATCCGACGAAAGCATCTATACACCACCACCGTGCCAGGCCAGGGCCATCCTGGGCCGTAGGATGGTGTATAGACCCTCCTGGCTCGGCCAGGAGGGCGTATACACCATCCTAGGGCCCAGGATGGCCCTGGCCTGGCACGGTGGTGGTGTATAGATGCTTTCTGCGTGCACAAGCCGCCCTCACTCCGCTTCGGTGAGATTCGATTCGCTGGCTGGGGCCGCGGTTCCACCTCGTGTCGGTTCGATCTGCTGGCCTCGGCAGGCGCCAGCTGCAGCCAGGCGCGGCGATCCGAGGTCGAGTCCGATGCGGGCCGGCTCGCCAGGAGGCCGATCCGTTTCCGATCCGATGCGGCTTCGCGATTCGACTCGGCATGGAGGCCAAGGGAGGGAGGAAGAGGGCGGGGGAGGTGGAGGGAGAGAACGAAATTGCAGACGAGGCAGAGAAGGGGGAGGAGGCGGATGACGAGGAGAAGTGCCAGTGCAAAGTCCGAGACACATCAACGATGTTGCAATAGACTTTTCCTCCAGGCTTACACGTCATATTTCCCTACAAGAATTGTTTTTTCATTGCGACCCGTGAAAATGGCCTGAGAATCTTCAGTCGTGCCAGCATACCCTTACTGGGACGTCAATGCCGCGAATCAGCGTGAATGTTGCGTCCTGGCAGTGCGGAATCGTGCCGGAGCGCTGTTCCTGAGACTTCAACACCGCGAATCAACGCCACCTGTGAGTCCTGACAGCCCTCAATTATGCCAAGACGCCAGCGCTGGGACTCCCAACCTTCGAATCCTTCAACTCGTTGAGACAAGCGCGCGCGGCGCCAAGGCGATTGCCACATTCTGAAAAAAGGAACCGCCCTTCATTGAATGTGCTGGATACTGTTAGAACGAATGTGCGCGGCGCTGAAGCGAGAACCACTTTTTGAAAATAGCCCCCCTCCATCCTTGAAGCTGTGGTGAAATTTGAAGTCGAGTGCGCGGCGAGAATCGCATTCTGAAAACCAGCCGCCCTCCATCCTTGAAGCTGTTGCGAATTCAATCTTCGTAATCACCCATGATTGAGTCGTCGGGGAAACGCCAGGCCCGCCCTACCGTCACATTTTTGGGGGTGCGACAGAAGGGGGGATTTGCTTGTGAGGGGCAAATCGGCGGCGAGCCCGGGGGGGAAGTGAGATGGGGGCGGGCCTTCTCAGAAGGCTCGGAAGACCTAGAGCCTTCTGAAAAGCTTGCAAAGCCTGCCCCGAAGACAGAGAAGCTTCTCAGAAGGCGCGAGGTCTTCTGAGAAGCCCCGCCGCCTTTTCAGAAGGCCTCATCCTTCTGACGTCCCCCCTCGCGCGGCGCCAAGAAAAGGTTGCAGGCGGAGAGGGGGGCGGACGAGAAGGACGTGGCCGTCCAGAAGGCCGTCCTGGAGAGCTATTCGCCGAAGCTTTTCGCGAGCAGGGTGCTGGAACAGGTGATTCCACTATTGTCAGGAGGGCCCGTTCCTACAATGCACGCGACGTGTGGATGTTGGCGCGGGGGGCGCCTTGCAAGCGAAGACGGGTGGAAAGACTTGTACAACGATCCGGTGGGCTCAGAGCAGCATGGGAGGATCCTCTCGTGGAGTAGTTCGGCGTAGATTGGCGTGGCCAGAGGGATGAGCATACACGGGTGGACTGGGAACGCCAGGGCAAAGCCATCGTGGCCCACGCTTGCGCACGGTAGCATACCCGTGTGCGATCTGCGAGAGAGCGAGAGCGAAATCCCAAGGCAACCCCTAGCAAAACGAAGCCAGACAGTCCACGGACAGGCGAAATAATGCCTCAAGTTCCGAAGTCTGGAGCCCGAGGTTGACGAGCTCAAACGTACATTGGCATCCAAAATATGCTGGGCATCGCCGTGCAGACATTTTCTCTACGCGACAGACTTCGAATCTTTACAGCTGAAGGTACGCGGGCGGGCTATTCTCCACGACAGAACCTACGACCCTCTGATATCCCGGGTGTTGGACCGGATTATTCCGCACATGTGCAAAGGGTGGCGTCCGCCCCAGTTGCACGAAGACCCTGTCCACTGGTGGCGGCGCTGCCACAACCGCGTCGTTGACGGGCTAGCCGACTTCACCATGGACAAGCGGAAGACATCGGAGACGCGTTGCGAGACGAGCGCCCTCACGCTGGACCAGTCCAACGTGATTATCCAGACAGGCGGTGGGCTCCAGGAGGGCGACTGCGCAGCGGCGGCGTGGATCATCGTTTTTTGGAGGCAAGCGCTGGAGGGATGGACGTTTGAGCCGTTAGTTGCGCATGTCACCTACATCGAATTGCCGTGCACTGCTTGCCGAGCAGAAGCAATAGCCCTTGACGAAACATCACGTGAGTTTGCAGCTCTTCTGGCACTGTGAAGCCGATAGCCACAGGAGGAAACCTAGGTTTCTCGCGCTTCATGAAAGAAAGAAATACAGGACGTGGAGGATGACCCTCCGGCATCCTCGCCCCCAGGCCGCTGGGCTCTCCCGCGGCGCAGGGCGACGAGAGCGGCCCGGGCACGTCGCTTCGGGCTGCCCTGCTTCGAGGCCCCAGCGCCTCATGGAGATTCGGCCCGCCTTCACGCCGTTTGTCCGTTGACCTGGCCTGCCCCGTCCACCCCGCTCACGCCCGCGCCGGACCTCCCGCCTGCCGCGCCCCTCGCTCGCCCGGGCCTCCGCGGGCGCTGGAGGACCCAGACCTCCGACGACACGTGCTTCCCAACCTTCGTGTGTTGGGCCTCCGTCTTTGAGCAGAGCACTGCTCGAGTGTCTCCTTCTTCTCCTCCCCCTCCACCCTGCCTCCGACTTTTTGCCTGCCTGACTACTGCTTCCGACTTGCCGCCCGCCTCGCGGTTTTTTGGTGGGTTGCCAACTGCGCAAATGTCGCCACGTTCGTGGGCTCCTGGGAGTGCCAGCGGAGTGGGGACCCACGGGGCATCTGGCGAGACCTCGTGGCTTCTGGGGGCCTGCCAATTGCGCAACCGTCGCCTATTGCGTGGGTTCCTGGGAGAGCCAGCGGAGTGATATTCTACGCAAACCCAGACGAGACCTTGCGGCTCCATGTGAGGCTGCCACCTGCGCATGTGTGGGTTCTTTTTGCGGGCAAGATTGTTGCGCAAACATACAGGTAGATGTACATATGTAGATATAGCATCAGCATATGTATGTATATATATATATGTGCACATACATATAGCATCGATTTGAAAGTGCACTCCTTGTGGTCGTCGCTTCACATGCAGACAGGATACGGTACGCCTCGAATGTTTGTCCATCCTCTTGCTCCTCCTCCTCTTTCTCTTCATCCTCCTCTTTCTCCTCCTCCTCTTTCTCCTCCTCCTCTTCCTCCTCTTCCTCCCCAGGGGCCCAACACGGAGAAACAACAACGGCGTGCAAATACATCTTTAGGAGGTCCGCGTGGGTTTCGTGGATTGGGGCTGGAGGCCCTGGGCGGCGCCCTCGCGCCCCTGGCGCGCTCAGCGCGCCAGGGAGTGTGGTCCACTCGAGGTGAAGAAGGCGGCTCGAGAAGTAGAGTCAACGTGCACAGTAAGGACGCGAGCCCTGCGGCCCGTCCTCTCAGGGTATCCTTGGGGGCTGGTCGCCCGCCGCCCAAAGAATCCCAACTTCGGTTTCCAAGGGTCTTGCGTCCTTGCCACCCGTCCTTAGTACGCGTTTCATTGTAGCAGGTCGGCCTGTGACAGGGCTGAGAGGACGGCCGTGTGCACCTTGGTGTGACTCCTTTACCAGGGATCGTGTCCGTTGGAACTCAACATGTGTCTGGCAATGCGGCGAGAACACAGTTTCTGAGCACTTGCCAGGAAGTCTCGCACGAAACGTCTGCCAGACCAGGCGGCCCAGGGCTTCCGCCTCCCTGTGTGACTCTTATATGTCCGTTTGTATTGACAGAACTCTCTAGTATCGATGTCCTTGCATGGGAGCCTTGAACAACGACATTGCAATATGTGTGTTTTGCGTGTGGGTCCGCATCTGGCCCTTCCCCCTCCTCTTCTCCCCTCCTGGTCTTCCTCCCCGTCATCGCTCCTGTCTCTTCCTCTGTGAGAGGACCAGCCTAGCCCAAACCTGGGCCAGTCCCTGCCCCACATGTGTTCCAGACCTGGCCCAAACCTGGGCCCTACTCGGGCAGCGCCAGGGGCCACGCAGGCCCCTATGGAACGGGCACCAACGGCTGGACGCTGGGCGCCGATCGCCTTCTGGCGCCGTCGGCCCGTCCGATATCCGACGTCATGATTGTGTCATAACGTGGACCCCAGGAGGTCTGGACCCATTCCCCGGGAGCGGCTCCTCATCCTGTCGTGGTTTCTTGGTCCCGAGGCCCAAGGAGGGCCGCCAGGGGCCGAAAGCAGGGATAAAGCCTCCGCCTCGAGCTTCTCGTGACGCTAGGGAGGTGCCGCCCGCCGAGCGCCCGGCCGCCGAGAGGACCTGATGACGGACGCCCCGTCGCAGGTGGATGTGCCGGGCGCTCAGTCTCCGCGGGCTGCCGCGCCGCTCGCGGTCGCCGGGGGCGGCGCCGGGCCCGGAGGAGGAGGAGGAGGAGGAGGAGGAGGAGGAAGAGGAGGAGGAGGAGGAGGAGGAGGAGGAGGAGGAGGAGGAGGAGGAGGAGGAGGAGGAAGGGGAGGATCAGACGCTGCGATCGCTGACCTAACTCCGCTCACCGTTACAGGAGGAGGACGAGCGGGAAGGTCAGCCGCTACGATCGCCGATCTCAGTTGGGTCAACGTAAAAGGAGGAGGAGGAGAAGGAGGAGGAGGAGGATACGGAGTGGGAGGTGGAGGAGCAGAATGAGGAGGAGGAGGAGGAGGAGGAGGAGGAGGAAGAGGGGGAGGAGGGGGAGGTGGAGGAGGAGGAGGAGGAGGAAGGCCACATGCAGGATCCAGAGGAGGGCCACATGCAGGACCCTTCCCCCGCGCTCGCCCCCGCGCGCCCCTCGGTGCGCCCCTGGAGCTGGCCCTAGGCGGTCTGCGCAGCCGCAATGGCCTTAAGTCGGGCCTGTCCATCTATAGGGGAAGTATTCAAAGATAGTCAAACAAATGATCAGGTGATTATTGTTTGATTATTTTTGTATATTTTTGGGGCATGTTTGGGCTATGTCTGATTTTTCGCCCAGAATCCCCCTGCAGGGGGACAAGCCCGGCTTAACAATAGCCTCGCGGGGAGGGGGTTGGGCTGGCGGGGCTGGCGGCGTCGCTCCCGCGCGCAGCGGCGGCTGGTGGCCGAGCGGCCGCCAGAGGCCGCAGGAGGCGCGCGGCGCCGTGCCTGGCAGAAGGTTGCGGCGTACAGCGGTAGCGACCGCGACACTTCCATCGACAGGAAGATGGATCGGAGGTTGATAGACCTCCTACCCTGGCACGCCGATTAGTGTATTGGCCGTTTTCGGTTCGCGAGAGGGCGTCGCGGCCGTCATGTTTGCGGGTCCAGGTCCGTCGGTTTTGGCCTTGGGCCGTTGTCACGATAAAGGGAGGCTTGTCCACCGCCAAAGATAGAGACCGACGGGCGAGATGCATCGTGTAGACAGGCCAGAGATACCGTCTGCCCGAAGCCGGTTCGAGCCGCATTGCGGCGGGCCGGTGGTGCTGCCGGGACAGGAAGCAGCGTGAGATGCAGGGGCATCGCATGTTGGCAGCAGTACGTGAGGAAGGCGCTCGGCAGCGACAGAAAGAACCCATCTGGACAGCGACATCGTCATCGAAGTTCCCGCGTGGGACTGCAATACGGGCAACCACTACGTCTACAACGACAGCAACGCATACAACAGCTACACATACGACGGCGATGGGTACGACAACAACGTGCAAGACGGATCCGATTACGACACACTAGGCTACGACAGCCCGTCATTCAGCTAGGTGCAGCTTGTCATTCCCAGTCTTTCCGACGTCGCTTGCCAGCGGCCACCCCTCTGCACAACCGACCCCGCTCCCGCCCACGGGGCGATCACACCACTGGGGAGGAGAGGCTGGTGAATAGGGCTCTGGCCATCGAGCGACAAACAGATCAAGCGACGGCCAATTGCTGATCTACGAGGGCCACCAGCAGAGCTACGACGGCACGAGCCAGTGCTTCGACGGCCACCAGCTGAGCTGTGGGGGCCACCAGCGCAGCTTCGAGAGCCGCCAGCTCAGCTACGACAGCTGGAGGGAGAGCCACGCGGGCGACCAGCGGAGCTGCGAGGGACACAACACCCTCTAGAGCCACCAGTAGAGCTGCGAAGGCCACGCGCTGAGGTACGCGGGCAGCAAACGGAGTTACCAGGGCCAGCAACTCAACGGCGGGGCTACCTGCAGAGTTGTGAGGGCCACCATATGCGCTCCGAGGGCCACCAGCTGAGCTACACTAGCACCAACTGAGCTGCGACAGCCGCGTGCAGACAGAGAGCCACCAGCAGGGCCACAGCGGCCAGCTAAGCTATGAGAGCCATTCGCTGGGCGAGAAGGACCACCAGCTGCACGACTGCAGCAAGCAGACCTTCGAGAACCACCAGCTGAGCTGCGAGAGCCACCAGCCTTACTGCGAGGGGCACCGCCACCAGCTGAGCGACAGGGCAACCACCTGAGCGAGGAGGGCCATCAGCAAAGCGTCGAGGCCAAGAAGTATAGTTTCGAGGGCAACTAGCAGAGCTACGACGGCACAGAAGCACAGCTTCGAGGGCCACCGCTACGGCAGCCACGTTCGAAGCGTCGATATCCACCAGCAGGACTACCCGGACCACGAGCCGAGCTACGAGGGCGACCAGCTGAGCCCGAGGGCCGCGTAGACAAACCACCCATCAGCTGAACCATCAGGGCAAGAAGTAGAGCTCCTGGAACCACCAGAACAAGCCGCGCTGCCAGACCAGGCCAGGCTACCAAAACAAGCGGAGTACTTGAGCGCGCATGACTACGACAAGTGGTCGTCGTTTGGATTGTTCTTGCCAAGTATCCAGCGTTGCCACAATGGCCTCGAGGGTATCCTGGGTACCCCAAGAAGGGGTTGGCCACCATGTGCCAAGCGACCACCCGAGTCTACCAGCATCACGATTTGAAACCGCATGACTACGTGTTCGATCGCTCATGCGACATCGCAGCCTCCGAAGGCCAGCCAGGGGTTACGAAATCATCCCTCGATCTGCTCCGCGACGTAATTCGACGCAGTTTACGCCCAGATGGTCAATTATGGTGGTGAGGCCAACATGCGTGAAGCCGCATCATACGACTACCCATTCAGAAATCGGACTACCGCCGGCCACCTTGGGCGCGAAACGCCGCTTTGGACGAGGCCGGAAAGGCTGGGCGGAGTGCCCAGGCCACCGCAGAAGCTCCTCACGGACACAGCGTGGCTGAAGTGGAATTCCGCGATGCGGATTCTTGTTGTTGTTGGTGGTGTTGTTGGTGTTGTTGCTGTTGAACTCTCACTTCTGAAGAATAAGTATTGTTGATCCCCCCCGTCTGGTGCGCATTGTTCTTTCGATTGAAGTGCCCTTCCCGGGGCTCGCACCCTGCTTATTTTATTCAGGGAAAGGGAAAGTCTTGAGGGTCAAACTGTGTCGTTGGCCCCCGGTGTGCAACAACAGTGGCTCCCGCCGAGTAATTCCTCACAGTTTATTGAACGCGCTCTCGCTTCAGACGTCCTTGCAATTTACCACCGGATCGCGGCTCCCGCTTGATTCTTCCTCACAATGTATTGAAGAATCGCGCTCTCGCTTGGGATTTCCTCGCAACTTACCACCGAATCGCTGCTCCCGCCTGATACTTCCTCACAAGTTATTCAGATGTCGTTTCTCGACAGTCAGGAATCGCGCTCCCGCTACAGATTGCCTTGCGGTTCAAGCAGGATTTACGCTTCAACGAACCGCCCGCTCGACCCGCCCGTCTGGGCCTGCCCGCCCGACCAGCCCGTTAGGGACTGCAGTCGCCGCTCGCTGCCCTTCGCCCGCCTTCGATGCCCCTCGTTGCCCGTGCTGGTTCCGCGGTCGCCTTCGCTCGCTGCCCTTCGTGGCCCCGTTGTTGCCCTCAGTGGCCCCGTCGCTGCCCATTGTGGCCCCGCATTGTGTGCCCTTCGTGGCCCCGCTCGTTCGCCCTTTGTGGCCCTTTGTGGCCCCATATACGAATCCCCTTCTTGGCCTCCGCTCGTTCGCGCCCGTCGTGGCCCCACATGCATGCCCTTCGTGGCCCCGCTGTCGCCCTTCGTGGCCCCCTCTCTGCCCTTCGTGGCCCCGTTTCTGCCCTCGGCAGCCCCGTCGCTGCTCTCTGTGGCCCCGGATTAATTGCACTTCGTGGCCCCCGCTCGCTCGCGCCCTTCGTGGTCCCATACGCATGCCCTTCGTGGCCCCGCTGTCGCTCTTCGTGGCCCCCTGTCTGCCCTTCGTGGCCCACTTTCTGCGCTCAGTGGCCCTGCTGTCGCCCTTTCTGGCCCCATATATGTATGCCCTTCGTGGCCCCCGCTTGTTCGCGCCCGCCGTGGCCCCATATGCATGCCCTTCGTGGCCCCGCTGTCGCTCTTCGTGGCCCCCTCGCTGCCCTTCGTGGCACCGTTTCTGTCCTCAGCGGCTCCGTCGCTGCTCTCTGCGGCCCCCTATACGTATGCCCTTCGGGGCCCCCGCTCGTTCGCGCCCGTCGCGGCCCGCGCCAACAACGGCTCCCGCCTGCGTTCCCGCAGGTTTTCGGAGCCTCTGGAACTGCTCGGTGGTCAGCGGGGCCATTCCGAGGCCCCCCAGAGGTCATAGGAGGCTTCTGGGTGCCTTCCAATACCCCCGCGCCTTGTTTCCGCACCAGTCTCCGCTCGTATCCACCTGCCCCGATTTTTTCATCGGTCTTTCCAATTATTCTCAACTCTTTTCTTTTCTCTTCATTTTCATGTCGTTCGTACTCCATTGTGCTATTCTTCAGTTCTTTGCATTCCGCCCACTCCTCCCCAGGCCACCCCATCCCACACCAACGATCTCCACCCCTTCCCGCTCGCATCCCGCATTTCTCCCAAGGTATCCCCAGTCCCTCCTCCAGATTCCTCCGTGCGCCCCCCGTTCCTCCGCACCCCTCCTGGTTCCTCTTCTCCACTCCTTGCCGCTCCTCCTCCTGAGACCCTACTCTTGTCCACTCCATCCCAATCCGCTCCACATCCCCGCGCTCCTTTCGACGCGGTTGCAGTTATCATTATCCTCCCGCCCCAATCCCAACATCCCGCTTCTTTTCAGGGTTCCACGGAATTTGTTTCTGACGCCAATTCGCAGCTGTGCGTCCCCCCGTGGGGGTATCCACGATCTGTTCTTTCAAGGGGGTGGTACGTGGCGCCGTCTATGGCGCGACACCTGGCGAAGCTTATTGTTAATCTGTGTTGGAGTGGCTGGCGCAAGCAATGGCGCAAGCTGAATCGCCACTCGCAGCGCAAATCATCGCCCTCCCTCCTTCTTGCCCCTCCCTTCTCTTCCTCCGATCCCTTCGTTCTCACTATCCCCCCCTTATCGGTTACCCTTCGTTTTCAAGGGCTTCACCAACCACTCGTGGCAGGGGGTGAATCTACCCCAAAAATGAGGGAGCGATCGAAGACGAAGAGGGCGGGCATCCAGGGTTTGGGACATGCGTATTGAATGACACGCGAGCACATAAGGGCGAACCGTATTAAAATGATTGTTGTTGGTGTTGCTGTTGTTGGTGTTGTTGTTGTTGTTGTTATTGTTGTTGGTGCTGTTGTTGTTGTTGGTGCTGCTGTTGTTGTTATGTTGTTGTTAACTGTTGTTGTTTGTTGTCGTCGTCCCACCCGCGACCCGCCCCGCGACCCACCCGCGACCCACCCCGCGACCCACCCGCGACCCACCCGCGACCCACCCCGCGACCCACCCGCGACCCACCCCGCGACCCACCCGCGACTCACCCCGCGACCCGCCCGCGACCCACCCCGAGACCCCCCTGGCGACCCACCCGCGGCCCACCCGCGACCCACCCGCGACCCACCCGCGATCCACCCGCGTCCCACCCCGCGACCCCCCCAATTTTTTCGGCGCCTGCCGCGGGCTGTTTTTGAATTCCTTCCAGGTGGAAAACTTGCGACCCACCCGCGACCCAAACCGCGTTCAATGTACAAATCAAAATGTTCGGCGCCTGCGCCGGGCTGTTTTTGAATTCTTTCCAGGTGGAGGTGGAGAGCCCGCGACCCACCCGCGACCCAAACTACATTCACTGAACAAACCAAAAAAATCTGGCGCCTGCGGCGAGTTTCTATTGCATCGGCGACCCACCCGCGACCCACCGGCGACCCACCCCGGGACCCACCGGCGACCCAGCCCGCGACCCACCCGCGATCCACCCGCGGCCCACCTTCGACACACCGCGACCCACCCGTGACCCACCCGCGACCCACCCCGAGACCCACCCAAAATTTTCGGCGCTTGCGGCGGGCTTCTTCTGCATTCGTTCCAGGGGGAACTTGCGACCCACCCGCGACTCAAACAGCGCTCAGTGTACAAATCGAAATGTTCGGCGCCTGCGGCGGGCTGTTTTTGAATTGTGTCCAGGTGGAGGTGGAGAGCCCGCGACCCAAACGCGACCAAAACTACGTTCACTGAACAAGCCAAAACGACGACGACGACGAGTACGAGGACGAAGAGGACGCTGACGACGAGGGCGAAGAGGAAAAGGACGGGGGGACGGAGGAGGACGACGAGAAAGGACGGAGGAGGAAGGGCAGGAGGAGGAGGAGGAAGAGGCGGAGGAGGAGGAGGAGGAGGAGCAGCAGGAGGACGACGGAAAGGATGAGGGGGGAGGATCGGGATGGGGGAGGATCGGGATGGGCCGCGCGAAAGATGATGGGGAAAAGGGGGAGGAGGAGGAGGAGGAGGAGGAGGAGGAGGAGGAGGAGGAGGAGGAGGAGGAGGAGGAGGAGGAAGAGGAAGAGGAGGAGGAGGAGGAGGAGGAGGAGGAGGAGGAGAAGAAAGAGGAGGAGGAGGAGGAAAAGGATGAAAAGGAGGAAAAGGAGGAAGAGGAGGAGAAGGTGGACGAGGAGAAGGAGGAGGCGGACGACGACGACGATGAGGACGAGGACGCGGACGAGGAAGAGGAGGAGGAGCAGGAGGAAAAGGAGGACGAGGAGGAACAGGAGGAGGAGGAGGAAGACGCCCGCGTCGCCCGCGCCCGCCCCCTCACTCTTATCCGCAATTGCGGGGTGCTACGGTAGAGTATTGCTTACCTCCCTCCTTCATCCCCACACCCTGGAGAGAGCCGAGTTCGGCGCATGGTCGGCGTCCGCGTATTGCGACGGCCATGCACTGGGTGTGGCCGCGGGGCGTTTCATGGGACTGGGTCCGCCGTTCGATGGCGGTGCGCAGCAGGCGGAGGAGAAGGGTTGAGGGAAAGGAGAAGGAGGAGGAAGAGGAGGAGGAGGAGGAGGAGGAGAAGCGGGAGGAGGAGGAGGAGGAGGACGAAGAGGATGAGGAGGAGGAGGAGGAGGAGGAGGAGGAGAAGGAGGGGAAGGGAGAGGAAGCGATGGATGGATGGATGGATGGAGTCTTATCATGTGATGCGATGGAGAGGAAGGGAGAGGATGCGATGGAGCGGCATTGTGGGGGCGCGGGCACGGCCCCTCTAGCAGAGGGCAGCAGGGCCGAAGGACGGCGATTGCCGCGAAGGAGGGGGAAGAGGAGGAGAGGGAGGAAGGCGAGGGAGAGCTGAATTAGGAAGCGGAATGGTGGAGCAGAAGGACGGGGAGGGGAAGAAGGCGGGAAGGACCGGGAGGGGCGCCATAGGGAGAGTGGGCTCCTCTGGTCCCGCTGGCCGAGGCTCTTGGCTGGACCGTCAGCAGAAAGTAGTTACTCACCACCCACCAAACCACCCCGACTCAACCCGAAGGCTCAAATTTACCCATCGAAAAAAAACACATGTGGAACCCTTACCCCCCCCCCCCCCAAAAAAAAAACTCGAAATTCGGGCTCTTCGGGTTGGGTTGGGGTGGTCTGGTAGGTAGTCAGTTACACCAAGCTCTCGGGAGGTGTGTTCGTTGTCTCGCCCCTTCGGCAAAGGGGTCATGTCGGAAGAACTCGACGGAGGTCGGGCGTGCGCCGGTGGATTCCAGCCGAATCCGATTGCAAATCATGGGGGCGTTGTATACCATCGATTGCAAGTCCATCTTTGTGGTTCACTCGGTTCGGTTGGATCGTCGGCTTAGCGTCGACTGGCGCCACATTGGTTTCGACTTTCGTCGAGTAGCGTCGACTAGTGACTAGCGTTGATTCGCGTCTATTCGCAAGAGCCAACAAAATGGCATGGGACGCTCTCGTGAGTTGGCACCGTAAATTTCCCTACAGGAGCTTCTTGCGGCCGTCATGGGGGATGTTGCCGTGCCGTTCGGTCGCCTCTTGGACACTCCAGACGCCTTCCGGGTTCTGGCGACCGGTCGGCATTATTGGTCCGTCCAGCGTCCCTTCTCGGGTCTCCTTCCGACGATCTCGACGATCTAACATGTCATGGGGTGAATGTTGTGGCTCCCACACAGCACCACGGTTTGTTCAGATGGTCCGAGAATGCCACCATTTGAGCCACCTGCCCACCAACAGATTTTGCCGTCCGTTCACATGGGCTAATCAGAGCTTGAATGCAGGGGAACTCAGACACTTTGACAGTCGCTTTTCTCAACGAGCTTGTGGAGTTGAGCCTTCGGTTTGAAGAGACAGCGCCCCGCTTGCCCACCTTCCTCCTCGCCCCCCACGCCACCCCTCCCTCAACCCATCCCTGCCTCTGCCCTCCGCACGTCGACCATTTCGGCACACCCGTGATCTGTTTCGTCGCGGGAGCTCCACCGAAGGCCCCGGGGGCCGCGTTCGCATGCGGCTGCCCGTCCACCGCACGTCCACTGCGGCACACTCCTCACACGCTGCGTGGCCTCATACGTACGGACTCCATTGAAGGCCCCTTGTGGGGAAACCAAAAGGTACCGATACCGCTACTCCCCAGACCTCTCCCGGGGTGCGTTCTGACCAGAATTTCAAGGCGAATCCAGCGGTGGCAACGAGGGCCTCCCAGGAGGCCCAAAAAGGGGGAAACGAGGGAAGGGTAGCGGTATGGGTACCTTTTCCTCCTCCGACCTTGGGGAGCGTTCGCGTGTGGGCGTCATGCCCATTTCGCCACACCCCTCGCATTCTTCGAGGCCCCGTGGGGAGCTCCACCCGAAGGCGCAAGGGCGTAGGTGGACGACACGTCCGTGTCGGCGCACCCCTCAGTCGTTTCGTCAAGGGCTCCCCCGAGGGCGCGAAGTTATTCGCGCTTCGCGGTCCTCGTTTCTCCTCCCCCTCCTCCTCGTCCTCCTTTTCTCCCTTTGGGGGGGCGGCGCGAGAGCGCGAAGTTATTCGCGCTTCGCGCTTCGCGGAGCGCGAAGCGCGAAGTTGGGAGCCCTAGTTTCGTGGCCCCACGTGGAGCTCCTTCGAAGGCTTCAGGGAGCGTTCGCATGTGGGCGTCACGATCGTTTCCGCACACCCATCAAGCGTTTCGTGGCCCTAAAGGGAGCTCCACCGAAGGCCCCAATGGCACGGCCCGCATGCGGCCCCCACCCCTCGCCCCATTTCGGCATGCCACTCGCGCGCTCCGTGGCCCCATGGAGCAATCTACAAAAGACCAGCTGCGGAATTCACAACTGCAGATGGCTAGGTCCTTCGCCAGGATCATTGATGCCCGCTTGAACCAACGTTTCCCATCACCAGCGTGCAGAAAAGGTCCGATGCTCCGACGAGGCGTGCCGAGCCAGGACCATCGTCGGCGGCGGCGGTGGCTCCGGGGGACTCCTGCGGAGCGCGAGGAGGCCTGCAGGTATGTTCGCGTCGGGCAAAAAGAAGTCACGACCAGAGGTTGTCTTGCCGACTTCGGCCTCTGAGGCCCCTCGCTGGGCACGGGGCCGTGAAAAGACGGCTCAGGATGAAAAACTGGCCCCTGGGAAAGGTCGGGGCCCCTTGCTGGCGAAATCCAGACATCGCACGTCTGGGGCGGGCGCGCCGAGGTCTGAGCTCAGGGTGAACCGCCAGGCTCGCCCAGCCCCGGTGGCTGCCCGGCCCGTGTCTCGCGCGGGGGGGAGGGGGGGGAAGGGTGGGAGGATGGTCCCGGCCACGCGTTTAGAGCCTCCATGGGCAAGCTGCAGGACTCCGAAAGCTTCAACGTGAGAGCACGTTGCACCCGAGGGCACTGGGAGAAGCCCTCGGGCAGGCCACCGCAGAAGGCAGGAGTGCCGCCACCGCCTCACAGGCGGCTCTCGCCGGAGCGTAAGGGACGGGATGGCTGGGTCCACAGAGTGATATGGTCGTACCGGCATGCCGCGTTTGCCAAATCAGGCCCAGGAGCCCCCACGCATCTTCTGTGGCTGGAGCCTAGGAGCGGTCTGGCTAGCTTCGGCAACCGTGCACGCATTTGTTGCTCTCCCACTCCGTCGATGTCTCGGATGCGCCATCCTGCTTGCAGCGGGGAGTCCCGACATGCAGCAAGCAGCACGTAGCGTGTGGGCACGGAGCTCGACACGCAGGCTGGAAACGGAGGCATTGCCGCGATGCCTTCGCCAGAACGTGGACCAACACGCGTCGAGCCGACACGCAACGTGCTAACACGACCGTGTTAAACTCGGCACGTGCTGTGTTTCAACACGGGCGCAAGGCTTGGACAGCTTCCAGTCGTGCTGGGAACACACGCCTGGTGACGTCTGAGCGGGGGGTGCTGCAGTCGGCCCAGATGAGTAGGCCGACCCTGCCAAATCAAGGGTACCCTCGTGTCCCGTGCCTCGCGGCCCATGCCTCCTCGCCTTCCTATGGCAATGCGGCCCCCGGAAGGGTCTCGTGTCCTCTCGCGTGTCCTTCCCAATCGAGTCCGACTGTAGTCTTCCCTCGACGCTGGCGACCAGGCCTCTGGGCCCAGAGGCGGCTCACTTCTTCAGAGTTCCGGTACCCATTGTTCACTTCTAAATCTTCGGAAGTTTTCTGATTTTGTTCGGGGGCCAAGTTCTTTTCACTTCCAATTGTTCTATCTTGGGCCTCTGGCCACTAGGGGGCCAGGAACAATTCGAAACGCGCACAATTAGAAATGAGCACGATGAGAAATGAACGACGTGTACCCACCTTCGGCCCGAGAATTTTGCAGTCTGTTTGAATCTTTGCGGGGGGTGCATGTTTTAGATGGCTCCGGAGGCCGCCTGGTGGCGGCCCATATGCCCCAGGATGGCTGTCCAAGTCGGTCAAAGGTGTTCCCATGACGCGCCCAAGACACAAGAAGATGCCTCGAGAGAAGCCAACATCAGGTGTCAGCACCGGGTACACAAACGAATTGCTTCATGATTGGTGTGGCTGTCATACTACGTCCCTTTAGAGTGGGGCCGCTCCATCGGGCCACAAATGGTCCCACAACGCCTGACGAGAGCCCCAAGATGGCGCCAACACGCGCCTATAGGACCCCAAGAGGGCCCAGAAAGTCTCCAGAAGTTTCCGGAAGTGCCCCAAGACAGCCGAATAGAGCGCCTAGACGGCCCAGCAGGCCCAATGCAGCCCAAGCATGGCCCCGAGAAGCACAAAGTGTATTCCAGGAGAGCCGTAAAGAGCCCAAAGAAGGCATAGCATAAACCTTCGAGGCATCCAACAGTTCACAAGATGAGCCGACGTGTTCGGACACACGCGCGGGAGCTTGGCATCGTTCGGGCGTGTGCATCCGCTCTCGGCGAGGACCATCGAGGAGCATTCTGAATCATCGAGCAAAAAGAACACGCACGACATCGAAAAATACACAGGGAATGGACGTCCGAGCGATGGCGAGGGAGAGGATGACGACGACGATGGCGGTGGCTGTTTTTATGCTCATCTCCATTTCCATGTGGTCTTGATCTGCCTGATCAGTTTTTGCCTCACCACATGATTCACCTTCCTGGACGAGGGGGATGGAGATCATGCGTGATCGAGTCTCGACTGCTGCGTGCAGCGTGCGAACACGCAGCAGCGAGCCTGGCTCATTGCATCAACCCTTCTGCCGAACACCGGTGCCTGTACTATGGCAAGAAGGATATTTCCTTAGCCACCTCCTCCTCCTCCTCCTCCTCCTCCTCCTCCTCCTCTTCCTTCTTCTTCCTCCCCCACAACCTAAATTCCCTTTATCTGTCGTCACCCCCTCACTTTTGCCAGTGATTCCCCTGCTCCTCATCTTGTTCCTATCATTCACCCTCTTCTTTTGCTCCTCCGACAAGCTCTCCTAGAGGCCCCAGCCCCCCGCATAGCTATCAGTCCAGCAAAGCTACCGCCAAACACTCCGCGCATGATCTCCAGAAACGCATATGCAGACGACATTTGTGACAACGGCAAGCAGGCTACAAGCAGTAGGGTCCCCCCGATCGTTGAGCGCGATGCGACAGTGGCTGCTTGCGCGCTTGGGTTTGGCCACCTTGCGCCCCCTTCATCCGCGCATGAACGGTCACGCTTGCCTAGGGCCATTCTTCTGGGTAGCCGGTCCGCTCGACTCCACCCCTCCTCGTCAGGTTACGCTGGCGCCCCTTTGCCCTTTGCCCCAGGGCCGCCGCCGCGCCCGCGCAAGGACGACGGGACCGCCGCGGCCACTCCGCCGGCGGCAGGGCGCCGAAGAGGAAGCGGGAGGGAGGAGCATGGGGGTTCGAGGAGGATCGGAATTCGAGGAGAACGTGGAAGAGGAGGAGGACGAGGTAGGGGCAGAGGAGGATGAGGTGGCGGAGGAGAGCTCTCTGTAGGCCACAGGGGCTTCTAGGAACCTCCACAGACCTCAAGGGGTGGAGGAGGAGGCGGAGGAGGATGAGATGGAGGAGGAAGAAGAGGATGATTTGGGGGAGGTGGGACCGAGGAGGCTGAATTCTGCCGAGGGGGCAGTGGAGGGGGGCGTATCCTTCATTCCTCTTTCTTGTGTTATTCCTCCTCTTCCATCTCCACAAATTGTAACATGATTCTCCTTCTCCTCCCTCTCGGAGGGTCTTAGGGTTGAGTTTGCCATGCTGGATCTTCTGTCGCCGCTGTTAGAACTGGTGCATGTGCTTCTTCAGCCCGTTTCACTCAGGCATGGTAGCGCTCACCTGGATGGTAGCCGACGAGTTCCCAGCGAGATGAGGGGGAAGCTGCGAGAGTGGAGTGGCCGCACGCCCGAGAGATTTCGCAAGCATTCTCTGCTGCGCCCCTGCCGGCGGGCGCCAGTTGAAAGAGCCCAAAGTTGGGACTGGGACTTCGGGGAGAGAGAACTTCGAGATCACCGCGTTCCTCCCCGCCCCTGCTGCAACATATGTGCGCTGGTGAGGCTCCAAAAGGATCAGACTGACATACTCTCTGGTGTTATTCTGGCGTGTTGCTCTGACGTTCGAGAGGTCCGGGTAACTTCCACTCTCTGTCGGCTGGCTTCATCTCGTGCGCGCTGTGAAGAATCCCTGCCCCCTGCAGGGCGCGTGCCCGCTCCCGCGCGGCTTGAACATGCAACGCGCGCGCGTGTCCTCCCTCGCCCGGCGCAGCAGCCCGCGTGGAGGCGCAGACTGTGAGACACCCGCCGGGGGCTCCGGGGAGGCAGGCCCACCAGCAGTTTTCTGGAGGCTGGATCCCACGGTCGGGAGCCTTTGCATTGTGGCGTCGATCAGCGTCGATTTGCGACGATTCGGGGCAGGTGGCATCGGTTCGCAAGAGCCGGCAAGCTGGCATGGGGAACCCCCACGAGCTGCCACCGAAGCGGGCACGTCGAACCAGAAGCCGTCTGGCCACCAGTCGCCAGGCAGAAGTTCGTTACGGACTGGAATGTTGGCTGAGCGTGTGGCTCCACGGGTTCCGGCCCACCACGCTTAGGCGCGACGCGCTATCCATTTCTGGGCTCCCAGGCGTCAACGTCCCGAGCCTGTCCGATCCTTCCGCCCTGCGGAGCGGAGCGACACGCCATCCGCTCGCAAGGCATGGCGTGTCGCAGGGGCCGCCGGCCCGCGGCACGCCGAGCGAAAGCTCCCGGCCGTAAACGGCCGCACGGCGCACGGGGAGCAGCCCGAAGAGCGCCTGCGTTGTCGCAGGAGGCTGCATGCACATGGCGTGGACGGCCCGGGCGAGAGCTGGAGGCGCACGTGGCCACATGCATTCCCAGCTCCTGGCCCTCGCGCGGCAATGCACGGTGATGCTCCAACTGTGCATCCGTTGGGTGCGCGATCGTATCCCTTTGTTAAGCGCAACCGCCCCCAGCCGCGCGCAGAGGGGGGGGGGGTAGTAGTGGGAGGGGGGAAGGGCTTCTTAGAAGGAGGCTCCTTAGAAGGCGCGGGCTTTGTCTATAGATGAAGGGTCGCCGCCTTACAAAATGCAGCCTCCTTCTAAGAAGCCTTCCCCCTTTCCCTAGCCCCCTGGGTCCGCAACATTAGGTGTTCGATCATGGACCCCTTGTTGAATGCAACCATCCAGCTTTCGTGCTGACAACCGCCCAAGGCCACTGGAAGCCGCCACAAATCAACGAAAACCGCCGACAGCCGTCATAAGACCGCGAAGGACCGGCGAAGACAGTCCGAAGACCGCCGAAGATTGTCAGACGCCGAAGGCCGCCCGAGGCCGATGGGTATCAAGGGTACCATTCTCGGACACGCAGCATCCAGCAGATCGCCTCCTGATGTTCCACATTCTTTTTTACCGTCCGAGAAGGGGCCCAGCGGGGAGAAAGAGTGGCACGGCGCAGGAGAGACCGGGAGCTGGAGGAAGGCGGCGAAGCAAGGGAGGTCGGGCGGGGCTGGGACAAGGCCGCGGCGCCCGGTGCATCCTCCAGAACCGCCGGGTCTCAGGGGCCCAGGGCCAGGACCAGGACCGTTCGGATGAGGATAATCCTCATCCGAGTTGTCCTGGTCCGGGCCCCGTCTTAGGGGGGGGCGACGCGAGCAGCAGCCAGCAGCGCGCCCAGGCAGCAGGCGGGAAGCCCAGCACGGCCTGCAGACTGTAGGCGATATCGAGGGGCAGCGGGCGCGGCACGGGCGCGGGGCTTCCCGCACCGTGTGGGGCACCCGCCTCGCCTCGTCGGCACCCCCGTCGCTGCCGGTTGGCTCGGCTGCGCGCCCAGGGGGGTGGAAAGGTATCCGCGGTCTCGCGGGCGGGGCCTCGAAGCCGCGATCCCGTGGATAGGGGGCGTTTCTTCGCGGACGCCCCGCGCGGAACGTACCCTTGCGACCGCGTAACTATCCACAGGATCGCGCCAAGGGATCCAGAAGCAATCGGCGCTCGTGGCCACCCATCGGCGGCGGCGCACTCGGGGGGGAAGTTAGAGGGAGCAGGCCTCCTCAGAAGGCGGAGGGGCTTCTCCGAGGCCCTCTGGCATTCTGAGAGGCCGTTTTTGTTTTTGTTGGAGAAGGTTCAGACAGCTTCTCAGTGGGCCGCAGGCCTTCCGAGCCTTCTGATAAGGCCCGCCCCCCCTCCTCACACCTCCCTGGGTTCGCCGCCGATTGGCGGCAAGAGGACGGCTTTTACTTTCACGCCCTGTCAGAGAGATCACCTCAATAGGGGAGGTAATCAGCGTGCCGCCCCTCCTCCCCAGGAAACGCATGCACAGGCATCGTCGCGGTGCGGCGGGGAGTGTAGGGCGCACAAGCAGCTTTACCAGGCCAGCCCCCTCAGAGAGGCACGGCTGGCTCCCCCCGACAGGCAGGCCGCGGCGACCAGTCGGACCCGGCCAATCGAAGCGCCAGCGCGGAGGAGGAGAGGGCGGGAACCGAAAGGAGCGGAGGAACCCGCCGAGGCAGCGGCGGAGGCTGGTCGGGGAGGCGAGGCTCCGCGTGAGGCGATCCGGAGATAGTTTTCTGTTTTTACGGTCTGGCGATAGCCTGAGTTTTCGGGCCCGCCTGCCCCCTCCCCCCCCCTTCCCCCCAAGGAAGTTCCTAGAGATCAGGACGGGGGGTGTTTTGCAAGTTTCTTGTTGCTGCCTTCCTCCCTCTGTCAATTAAAGCTGTGCGCGGCCTGCTTAGCTTCGACCGGAAGAGGTGCGTTCTCGACCCGCGAATCAAAAAAGTGTTTCGTAAGTTTCTGCTTCTGAGGGCCCTTACCAGGCCCCAGGGCTGTCAAAAACAGCCTGGGATGAAAAGCGGGCTCCAGAGAATGGGTCGACATTTCGGGGGACTCATTTTATTGAAAAGTCCGCACATCGCATGTCTGGCTTGACCCTGTCAGTCACGCAGGGTTGAGGGGGTGCGAAGTGCTGGCGCGCGCGGCTATACGTGGGGCTGCCCGCAGCGAAAAGGTTCGGTTATCGGCCACCACCTCCCCCCCCCTCACACGCTGGATCATCCAGGTTACAGTGGGGGCGCGTGCCAAGAAACCAGTTGGATTTTGCCAGGGTGCCCTGGGTTTCTTTGATTTCGAAGGGCTCCCAATCAGACCTTGACGATCTTCGATGGACGCATGCGGATGTTCCCTGAGCAAGTCGCGGATTTCAGGGTTGGGTTTCTTGCGGAGGTTTCTCGTGGCCGAGCCCCCACCGTATCGCCGAAAAGTAGCAGGGGGGCCCGTCGAGACAGCGGCGGAGAATGGCTCGGGGGGCGAGGGCCCGTGTGAGGCCGCTCGGCGATGGCGGCGATCCCCCGCGGACCAGCAGCGAGGCCACCCCGACTCCCAGAACTGGCGTCTTCTCGGGCGGGGCGAAAGGGGGGGATTGGGAAAGGGGAGGTTACGAAATTTGCTGCATGCAGCTGGTTTCGGCCTCACCGAGGGGCCCATTCCTCGATACATAGCCGCCTCCGGCGCCGGGAGGCGCCGGGAAAATCAGCTACGTGAGCTGATTCTCAAACCCCCCCTTTGCTATCTCCCCCTTTCGCCCGACCCGATCTTCTGAAGATCGAGGAGCGCAGAACTGCATAACCAAAATGCTTCTAGCAGGTCCGCGCGGATGTCTTGGATCTGCGCTGGAGCCCCCTGGCGGCGCCTCCGACGCAGATCCAAGACATCCGCGCGGACCGTCGAAAGTGTTGCCTGCCTCTAGAACAGCTTCTGGCGTTCACTAGGCCTCGCTCTCTTCAGGCTCCATGCCAATCTGGTCGATCCGATTCGATATCGATTTGGTCTGCTCGATCCGATTCGACTCTGGTGTTCCGATGACCTTATTTGATCCGACGCTTGCAAAGCGTAGTTGCGCATGTTGCCGCAGCCGATCCGGCTCGATTTCGACTCCGTGTAGATGCGGCCCGATCCGACGCACATTTCGATTCACTCCGTTCTCCCGGTTCCATGCTGACCGACCCTGCCCTGTGCGTTTACATCCTCAGGCGCGTGTACTAAAGGGCGTTCTAGCCAGGGTGCCTAATATGTGGGTGTTCCTTCTGCCCTGTGAAGAGGCTCTTCCGGGAGGGCTGCGACGAGGACAACCGCCTCTCGTTCGACGCCCTGAGGAAGATCTCCGAGATTCGGGAGATGCTCGAGGAGCGCGGCAACTGGTGGACGGGAGTAGGGCGGACGAACCGCTCCACGGCGCCCTCTCCTGGTGTGCTCCCGCCGTTTCCTGTTCAGATCTGCTCTGGTCGTCAGCAGCTCTCGCCGAGGGAACCTTTCGCCGCAGGAAAACACAAGCGGCACTGGTATAGATTCCCGGTGCTCCGCGCGGATTGCTTGCATTCGTGCTTGGGCCCCCTTGGCGTCGCCTCCGGCACCAACCTTGGCGCGCTCCGCGGGCCACAGACAGGGTTCGGGCGCCCGATGCCCAGACCGCCGTGTCCCCTGACCCATGGCAGGCGTGCCCCGAGGCAGCCTTGTGGAAGTCCGCGCGCCGAGGGGTCGGAGGATCGAGCCGCATCGGCGGTGCGGCCCGATTCGGAGCCAGATTTTCGCCACGCCGTCGGCATAAACGTAAATGAGGGGGTTGGGCCGGTCTTGCTGTCCTGCTCTGGTCCATACTCGGAGAGCGTTCGCCGTCGCACCGTCGGCTTTGCTAGGCTGGCGCGTGTTCTCCATGCGCCGTCGCACCGCTACGTCTGCGTATGTTCTGTACTTCGATAAGCCTTCCCCCTTGGCGCCGTCTTACCTTCGGCTTGGCTTGATTCTTGACGTTAATCTGCATTCAGTGCTGTATATATATGTACATATGGCTATCATATTTTATATATATACATATCTATATATATATATATATATATAGATATAGACTCACACACATATATGTGCATCTTCATATAAGTACATACGTTGTGTGCCCCCCTTCCCGTCGCCACTGCACTGACGCTTATTCGTATTATATGTTTCATCTGTCCATTTAGTTTCCTGGCCCCAGGCGCCGTCGCACCAGCTTGTCTGTGCGTTGGTGCGGCCATCAGGTATATGTCATCATGTATATGCGATATCTCCAAAAGTTGTTTCCTGCAAGGGTCTCAGATTCGTAGTAGTATTGGTGGTCGTAGTGGTGCTCGGCGTGGCGTC